CCACCATTTTCTGGAATTATTATTATTTGGCCCTATATAGGATTATTTATTTATTTATCTATTGGTCCTTGTCTTTCTGACAAAGCATTGGTTATTAGATATAGTGGGTTGGAGGACATCATCAATTAGACGCAGTAGTCAGCTGCCTAAGGTGATCATATAATAATAATCTTCCGTATATATTTTTATAATTTATTTTTTAGTTAAGTAATTAATTTCTTATTGCATGAGTTTGTCATTAATGTTTTTTTTTTACAGTGGGAGGATTCTATCGACGAAAAATATCCGCATATCGTGTATGAAGAGAGGTGCAAGGTGTGTGAGTGTGAGTCAGCAAAGTGGGGTGATGGTTTAGACGAACTTGAAGGTTCGTAATATCCGAATATTTGTTTCTTTAATTAATTAGAAATTTCGTAATGTAATTGTTGTCTTGTAATTATTGATATAGAGGAACTGGTAAATGGGCTCTCTCACGTGCCATGGGAGAAAGTAGACGTTAGCTTCCACAATAGCAGGTTTCGTTTCGCCGCCCACAGTGTTATCCAGGTCTCTCTCTCTCTCTCTCTCTCTCTCTCTCTCTCTCTCTCTCTCTCTCTCTCTCTCTCTCTCTCTCTCTCTCTCTCTCTCTCTCTCTCTCTCTCCTCTCTCTCTCTCTCTCTCTCTCTTTCATTTTTTTAATTTAATTTAAAAAAAATAAAAGTATGAATGTTTTATGTTTCTTAATTAATTTTTCGGTCACGACCAATTCTTGTAATTTATATATGTACAGGGGAAAGACGATTATATTCATTCAGAAGGTGCAGACGTAATACAACACATGATCGATCGTTTTCTTGTATAGGCACGTGTTCCAGCTCTCAATCGTTCAATCATTGCCCTGCAAACGACTTTGAAGAAATTGATTTGTAGATTTTTGCAGGTGTTTGCCTCTATATATCTAAGGCCATTTTTTTAAAACCGATTTATTTATTTATTTATATCTATAATCTCGCCTTTGCTGAACAATAGTTAGAATTTTGTTGTCTATATATCATCTCCTCTGTACATGATGAACGGCTTTCAAATTATTCATCCGAAAGTGAAAAATGATTCAATTATGATTTTGCCATTCTTTCATTGTTTGAATCTTATTGCATTTTCCATTCGATTTAGAAATATTAGTTTCAAATTGGTATGTCGATATTTTATGAAATTATTTACTTATCAAATTGGTTATGAAATTGTGGTATACTATTCAGATAGTATCTGATCCGGACAAATTTGTCCTAGGCCCAAAATCAAAGCCCAAACTTTCAAGATAACAACCTCGGCCCAATTATAATATGAGAGCCCATTCTCCATCAAGATTTTTGGGCACGCCACCCAAGACAAGACAGGGGATAAGGGAAGGAAAGGGAAGAGAGAAGGGGTCTTCTTCTGGCTCAAGAAAAAAAACACAGAGAGAGAGAAAAACATACACACACCAAGAAATAGAAACACAAATCCAAAATACACGGAATATCTTGAGGAGGTCCAAATGGATCTCATCAAATGGCGCCGTCTGTGGGAACGTTTGAGTTATAGACGTGCGTTGGTTTGATTTTGGGGTTTCCTCCAATAAGTAGAAGAGCGAGAAGCACGGTA